ATAAAAAAAAAAAAAAGTTCAAAAAAAAAAAAAAATTCTCCTTTCCACGTTTATTTCCGTTTCAGTCCCCGCCCCTGCCATCCATTCCACATATGCCCCAAAGGAAGTAATCCAGCTCACCTCCAGGCGAACCAGCTCCCTCTACAGGGCCGGAGTACGATAAGAACCAACCTACCTACAAACAATTAAAAAAAAAAAAAACAACCTACCTACCCTTTCTTCCATTTAAAGATGGCTATACTACACTCTGCCACACTATATTAATTCGTTTTATAGACTCAAGGGTAGGGATGGGAATTGGTAAGATTTTCACGATTCCAATTCCATTTTTGATTCTGTTTAACAATTCGATTATCGATTCTCTTATCAATTCTTATTTTTTAAAAAGGAGAACACACAGGTTGATTAGATTAGAACTTTGATTTATATCTTATCTTTGAACAAGATAGAAATTTAGGAGTAGCATGACCTTACAAAACCAACAGTGAAATCTTAAGAGATCCACAGCATACGGCTCCTCGATGGGGTGCCACGGGGTCCCCAGAAAAAAAAATTGTAAATGTAAAATAATAAAATAAATATTCTTCTGTAGCAATAACAAAGTATAACATAAATTATTCTGTGGCAATTACACAAGAATGTCCAGTAACATTTAAACTCTCCTTTTTAAAAGTATATAAATCAACTAACATAATATGCATAATATGTTAGTTGATTAGTTACCTGCCGTATTAACAGGAGAGGACGTGCAAACGTTACCGCTGCTGCTGGGTTGAGATTCACTAGTCCGGAGTGGATCAAAAACACGACATTCATTTAAGGTTATCGCGTGTTTTGTGAGCAAATGCTTTTGCATATTCGTAGTGTTTCCTCCCTTTTATGAAATATCTACTTTGCAAGTATTGCAAGTTGCCCTGTTGTCATCCTTTCTCATAAAGTATAACCAAACCTTTGAGCGTTTGTGCAACTTAGGCGCCATGTTTGTCAGGACTGTTGTGCTGCACCGGGACTGCTTCGCGTCGTACCAGCCCCTGGCCCACTCGGAGTATCCCAGCAACAGGATTGGGGGGCCCATGACCACAGGAGACTCACCGCTGCCAGGAGCACTTCCAGGACTTTATGGGGGTTCTGGGATGGATGACCCCCTGGGGGGGGTCAGTGTAGCATGGAGGTACTGGTAGAGCAGTATGGCAGGTTGGACTGATGCCAACCCTGTAAATAGTTCTCCATAGTCGTTTGTTTTGTAGGTAAATGTGCTGTTTCATGTCACGTATAGTGTTGAATGTTTGAATTGTTGTACATAGCGTGTTGGTTGGTGTGTGTGTGTGTGTGTGCGTGCCCGTCTCCCTGCTTACTCCTATAATACGCACGGTGGGCAGTGTGACATTGTCAGTACAAGTGGCATGGATGCAATAAACGCCACTTATACACTTCGTTTATCTAGTAGAGATGCGCAATTGCTTTAAATAACTTTAAATCTCTGCCTGTTCATTGCAAGCAATATGGCTTGGCGACACTTTTACAATATTAATCTAAAATTGGCTACATCAAAAGCAATGAGGTCTCATGATACTTTTAAGCCTTGTGTCAGACGTGCCTAAATCACAACCTTTGCCATTTGCTAATCGCGTTTTGATTTATTTGAAATAGATAAATCGTTCAGCCCTAATTGATATGCTTTTTGAAGAAGTAGCCAATCATAATTGATATGCTTTTTAGGGAAGGTTAGAAAAGGTATATAAACTTGTAGTTTGGTTTGTCGCCACCTTGATATGGGGAAACAGTGTTTCAATTTGAATATCTTCCAAGAATATCAGCAAGTATTCCAGTAAGGGACATTGGTCGTTTGAGTAGCTTCCACAAAAGCTATCCAATTTTAGACTGAAATGCCCCAAAACACCTCTTCATAAAAATGGGAAATCTGCTAAATCAATGCATGAATTAAGCCATGAACAAATCAGGAATTGAACCATCACCTAATGAAGTTTTGATGTTCTGAAGTGCCTGTGCTCTAGCTTGTTGTAAAACACCACAGTCGTCGACGGTGTCTTCCTGCTCCTCAAATATTTAAAGAAAAGAGAAGGAATTAAATGTCAGAATGCATTAAAACTGATCGAAGTACAAGGACAGGATTGCTGACTAAATCTACAGTGTATGATGTTTTGAACAGTGCGTATAACTCTATAGATACCTAGTTAGAAAAAAATGAAAGCAGGGCAATCACATTAAAAGCCACTCATAACAGTTTCTTGCATCACTCGCCTATTGTACAAAAGAGGGTGAGGGGCGTGTGAAAGAGCGCTGCCGCTTTTGCGAAGATTTCAGTCCTTTAGATGTATCGGTAATGTAGTTCGGCTCCCTATCTCATCCTTTAGCGTAGTACAATAATTGACTACATTTCCCAAGATTCTTTAGGGGTAACTCGCTCTCGAAATGGACAAGGTCACCGGAGTGTTTGTTTCGCCACGTGTTTCACGTGAGCGAACCTTCGGGATCCGTCTTTCCTATATGTCTGCGGGTACACGCGTTGGCTGGTTCGCCATCCAACGGTTTATCTCTACAGACGTCGCTGCGATGTGCTTATGTTTACGTACAGTAGCTATATGCTGACATTAATTGCTGGACGACTTGTGGCTCAGTATTACATCGAAACTGTTCTGGAACTGACTATATCTACAACTGACTGATCTGCCAGCTAGGTAATATACTACTACTAATAATAAATCTTTATTCGAGGGAGAATGTTCGCATATTTGCCCTGTGCATGCATATCAGTGTTGCAGTACTTCTCTGTTAATACTAAGAACCGTTTCCTAACAATTGTCAAGTTTTCTGAAATCTGCCTTCATTTCGAGTCACACTCCCGCCGAGTCACCCTCACAAAACACCCTATACACTTAAACTGAAGGAAATTGTCACAAGAAAGATTTGAGAGAGACTTGCCCTCGCAGCGCCTTTTTACAGTCTTCTTTACCGGAAAGAGGAAATGCATT